TCGGGGGCGGGTGGCGCGGGTGCTGCCCCCTCCCCAGTGGATTCTGGATGCCACTTCCCCCGCCCCCTTCTTCCCAGTGCCACCCAGACATGCCCAAGGCCCCGGCACTCCTGCCTCCCCTCGCCACACACCCTCCTCCCCTTGGCCCGGACTCCCTGCTTGCTACGGCCGGGAGCAGGGCTCGCTCCGCACAGAGGCAACTCTCTCCCTCCCCCTCTCCCCCCAGCCTTCCCCTTCCTCTTCCTCCCACAGGCCTCCCGGATGAGCCCAAGGCCCCGGTGCTCCTGCCTCCCCTCACCACACACCCTCCTTCCCTACCCTTCCTGCCTCGGCCCAGACTCCCTGCTTGCTCCGGCCGGGTCCAGGCCCGCTTCTAAAAGCGGAGCCACTAACGCGGCAGGATGGCCAGGATTGGGCCCCAAGGGGGACACAGCGCTCAGGTATGCTGGGCCTGGGTGAGTCCGCAGCATGGACGTGAGCTGGCCCAGGCGTGGAGTGCGGAGATAGAGTTGCTGAGCCCGCGCTGTGTGCCATTGTGGTATGAAGTGTCCCTGGAGACCCTGCGTGACAGGCAGCACCGTCAGATAAAACGGAAGGTTGGATTAGTGAAAATCGGATAACCGAGACTTTACTGTACATTAATACAGGGTCAAATCCTATAGACATTACTCGGGGGAAAAAAAAAGTTAGTTAGTTAGTTGGCTAGAAATACTGCCTGAGCAAGGACAGAGGAAGGTTTGTAAGATTTTTCTTATACAGGTTGTACCTCCCTGGTCTGGCACCTTCAGGATCTGACTTGTCTCAAATGAGGGAGTTTGCTGGACCAAGGGAGCTCAATTCCATCCCTCTGCTGACAGGACTCTGGGCTCTCCCAGGATCTGTCAGCAGACCTAGTTCCCAGCTCACCCACAGCTCCAATGCCCAGTGACTGCTGGGACTCCACTGTCACAGCTCTCAGGCACCAACACTGCCACAGCTCCAGGGTGCCGGGGCTGCAGTGGGTATGGAGCTACCAGGGCTCCACTTCCAGGGAATGCTGGACTTCCTTATCTTGGGGCTTCCGCAGCTTTCTGGCTCCAGCGCTGCCAGGGCGCAGGGCATCGGGGCTGCTGCGGCAGTGATGACCCCAGAGTTACCAGGGCTCCATTCCTTGGGGCTGACAGTGCTTCCGTAGCTTCACTAACCTAGAGCCTCTGGAGCTGCCGTGGCTCTGCTCCTTGGGCTGCCATGGCTCTAATGTCCCAAGGCTGCCACAGCCAACCCCTTGGTCACCTAGCCCTCTGGTCTGGGGGCTCTCTGGTCCAGCAATACCCGTGGTCCTACTGGACCATGGATGTCACCAGACCAGAGAGTCCCAGATGAGAAATTCCATGTGTAGTGAGCTGGCATATTAAGTGGCCCTTCCAAGACCACTACTCTGTATTATGTTCAGCCCAACAAGAATATAGCTAGCAACGACAAAGTCACAAATATGAAGGTTTTCAAACTTGTATATTTTCAAATAATCTTCAAAATTAAGAGAGGCAAGATTGATGAGGTAATATTACTGGACCACTTAAAGTTTCTCACTCATCAACAGAAGTTGGGCAAATAAGGGTTTGTTTAGACTACAGGGTTGTTTGTAGAAAAAAGTGGCCTTTTTAAAAAAAACTTCCCCTGCGGCGTCTAGACTGCTGCCACGTTCTGTAGACAATAAATCGAAAGAACATGGCAGTTTTTTCGACCACTGAAAACCTTTATTTACAAGGAAGAACGCCTTTTTTCAAAAGTGCTCTTTCAAAAAAAGGTAATGCTATGTAATGTAAACTGTGCTTTTTCGAAAGTACCGGTTGCAGTCTAGACGCTCCTTTTCAAAAGAGGCTTACAGTCTAGACAGAGCCTAAGAGATTACCTAACCCACCTTTTCTCTCTAATTTTCTGGGACCAACATGACTACAATAACACTGCATTCTGAATTAAGAGTCCATACACACAATCTATTAAATTACACAAATACATATCTGCAAGTAATTAAAATATTTACATTTTGTGCATCAATGAGCAAAATTAACACTATTTTGGGAGACCTAAAAGTTCAAACTATTTCTTTTAATGCACTACAGGTAACATTAATTACATTCCTCCTTTTTTACATTAGTGAACAGATATAGAAGTTATAACATGAAAATAAATACTTTTACAAAACAAATATTCATACCTGGTGGTTTTTTATTAATGTCTACATCCTCAGGAGTTTCATCTAGATTTCAAGGTTTAAAATAAAATAAAATAAAATAAAATTTTATTAGCTGTTTTAGAGTCAAAGACTGCAAAAAAGAACACGACATATGTGCAAGACTATTATTAAAAATATATATACCTGGCTCTCTATCTTCATTTACTGGTTCTGGAAGAACTCCTGCAACTGAGAAGACACAATATTTGTAGCAACACCTAATGTGAAGTTCTACACTGGTGAAACTTGCGACAACTTTCTAAGTTAAGGCTAATTTCTAAGGCTCCCAAACCTTACAGGACTGAGTTAAGGAAGGTCTTTGAAGTTTATGTCTGATTCCCAAACTAGCACCTCAACCAATAGACCATCCTTCTCCTTCGTGAGAAGTGTATGTTCAAGCATCCGTGGCCAGTCTAGACGCGATTTTGCGCAAGAAAGCCCCAATCGCCATTTTAGCCATCGAGGCTTTTTTTGCGCAAAACACTTCTTCCCAGTCTACACTGGCCTTCTTGCGCAAGTATTCTTGCACAAGAGGGCTTTTTCCCCCAGCGGGAGTGTGAAAGTATTTGCACAAAAAGCACTGATTTTGTACATTAAAGTCAGTGCTCTTGTGCAAATTCAAGCAGCCAGTGTAGACCGCTTGCCAGTCTAGACGCACCCATAGAGAATGTAGATGGTGCTATTAGGGACTCTAGGAGAAAGGGGAAATCGAGGCCCAAAGGTATGTCATATTGTGACCTGCATCTCGAAGTTACCACAGGTGGGGGCCATCCTACAAAAGATTGTGGAAGGTCAATAAGCCTCTCGGAAGAGGGAAAGTGAGGCAAGGGGATGCTCACAGAGCCACTCTGAGGTGGGGGAGAATGGAAAGGGACACCCTTTGATGTACAAACTACATGGAATTCAGATACCACATCCAGAATCTTAGATCCACAAGAGGCAATAAGCAATTGAATGGTTAATAAACTTTTTGTTATAAATGGGGTAAGGAGGATGCTTATTTTTAACAAATTTTACTCTTCAAGGGAACTTAGCTATTTAAAACTATTATATGCAACAGGGGAAAAACCCAATTACATTTTTAATAAGTGTCTTCTATTTTTATTAAGGTAAGTGACTTTAGAAAAATAATCTTTTCATCTCTTTGAAAGAAGGGCTTAAACAACTGCTTATACTCACTTTCATCTTCCTTTTCAGCATCCTCAGGTGGTTCTGTTGGGAACAACATTTCTTAGTTTCAAATTTATTATTTTGAGCCAACATCATAGCTAAATGTAAAGAGAACATTTATAAAATGTGAAATGCTAAAAAAAGGTTATTTTAAGGAAGAAAAAATGTTCTCCAATTTTAAGAAATTTCTAATACTCTTTAAAAATGGAAACAAGTACATGATTTTGTTGAAAGAGAACAACAAATGCAAACAGGCTTGCATTATCCAGAGCAGAAGAGAGAGTCTACATAGAGCCTATTTCAGTGGGGATTAATTTAAACTGTGCTTAGTTTTAAAGAGGCTAAAATTCCTAACAAGACTGAGAAAGTAATCATGTCAATATGATAAGAGTCCCAATTTTCATTTAACATTATTCCATATTAATGTAATATAAAAAAACAAATGTATTTATTTTCACCTTGTATGCTTTCTTCAAAGTAGTGTTCATTTATAGGCTCTTTACCTGCAATGGGGATACATTCAAAGGATACATGAAATTTTTTTTTAAATTACCTGTTTCATCTGGATGCACAATTCATGAGCAAGATGTCATTTACAGTGTAATTTACAAAAAGATGTTAGCTCAAAACCCTGTCAAGTTAATTGCCTTAAAATTAGTTTTAGATATTAACATGACCTAGAATCTCTCTGCCAAATTTCATAGATATACAACAAAATCATTTTCCTATTTTTTAATATGATTACCTTTTTCCGCATGCTATAAAAATATGGGCAAACAACTGGCTAGGCAGGCAGAACAGTGAAATTACTTATATACAGCAATTGTAAATGCACCAAAAACATTTTTGGTTACAAGCAGAGAAAAATTAACTTCACTCTCTAATCTTTCAGTAATGGTAACCTTGGATGTTACTTAAAAATATAGTTTTTTCAGAGTGAATTTTAAGTTAACTGTGCCCTAGTTTAAAAAACAACTCCTTTTGGCTCTAACAACACTAAATAGTAGTTGGGGTTGTTGTCTCTCTATTTTGGCATTGGGGAGATTTAATTATATCTAAAGGTTGCTCTCCTAAAGCAGTTTACCTGCAGTTTCTTCTGTTTTTCCACTCTCCAGTTCTGCATATACTCAGGGGATATAATGTTATTTAAATTATTTTCATAAGTGCACATAAAAATACATTTAACATACTACTACATTTAACCCTGAGTCAATCCACCCATCCCCTACCCCCAATTCTCTCTACTCTTTTTTACTATTACTTTTATAGATAGGTAAGAGCTGCTACAGTGAATCGTACCACTGGTCCATATTCTAGCCCAATATTCAGTGTCCTGTGTGAGCTTCAGAAAATATATGAAATCTTGCTTTAGGCAGCTCTGGGATTATCTATTCCTAATACCAGGTTGCCTCTGAACTCCTTTATTGGTAGGCCCTGTCTACACCACACAGTTCTATAGATAAAAGGCAGCTTTTGTCAATAAAACTGCAGGTATACACACTGCCAACTGAATTCATCTGCTGTGTTGATATAATAAAACCAACCTGATGAGAGGCATAGAGCTTTTTGCAATGTAGTTACAGTACCCAGCATCAGAGTAGACAAAGAACTTCTTACACTGTCATAGCTGGCCTCCAAGTATCATCCCACAATGCCCACCATTTGAACTCTGCTGTCCCACAGCCAACTTCATAGCTGTGCACTGCTCCTCATTTTTTAAAGCCCCAGGAACTTTAGAAACTGCTCTTCCTGTTTGCTTTTCTGGTTCTCCTGAGCCTGTGGGGGAGAGGAGCCTATGTATCTGTGGCTGCATCTATGGGGAGAAATCAGTGTAGGGACACAGGGGGACAGCACCACAAAGAATGCCCTACACATACTACCACCCATCCTATACATCTAACTTCCAAGGGCACTGCAGAGATTAAATACGACAGCCAAACACAGAACCCTATGAAACCCATGATAGCGGAAACAGGCAGGCATGCAACCACACTTGACACACAATATGCCAACATACACACTCAGATACCTACCCCACCTCACCACACAACTTTTCACTCATTTCTCCCAACATACACTTCTGTGGACTTCTAATGTTACTGTTCAGCAATGTCAGTTTGGTCACATTATCGAGTGCTACTTTGAAAAGTGACTTAAAATATGTTGCTTTTGAGGTATACCCAGCAAACATTACAAAGTTTACAGCACAGCATAACAAACCATGCCAGGCTCAACACACTACAGCAGCACCCATTACAGTGTCTCCATGTTAAAATGCTCCTTCGAGGCCTCCCTCAGCCAAATAGCACTCTTCTTCCAATTAACTCTTTTTATAGCCTTGTGTTTATAATGCACAGCACACCACCCTGCAGCCAGTTGCACAGTGAGATAGCTATCCATGGTACATTGTTCTCTGTGTCGATGCAACAGCTGCTATTATGGATGCATTTTGCCAACGAAAGAGGCATAATGTGGATAGGCAACAATGGTTTAATTACAGAAATGGCTGTACACTGACTTAACTCTTTTTAAACCTTAAGGCTGGAGCCTTAACCTCCTCCAAAAACAGTTAATCAAAACAAATTAAACTGTCAGTATTATTATCATCCATATAAACACCAGTCTCTCTTTGAAACTTGTGACATTTTTGGCTCTGAAGATATCCTGTAGCAATGAGTTCTATTCTTGGATTATACACAGTGTGGAAAAAATATTTCCTTTTCTAAATTTGCCAATTCTAATTTAAAATTAAAAAGTGATCTTGCTACCTTTTAATCTAACCAACTGTCTCATTCTTATGAGAGAGACAGGGAAAACAAGCTCATGACCTACCATCTCTATAACATTTGCTATATTAGATACAGGAAGTCCCTGGGTTACGTACAAAATTGGGACTGTAGGTTTGTTCTTAAGTTGAATTTGTATGTAAGTCGGAACTGGTATGCTAAGCTGAATTTGGATGCAAGTCGGCCTCGGCGCGGGGAGTTTTTTTAAAGTGGCCCCGGCGGCGCTTCGCATCCCCTTCCCCCGCCCCCGGTCTCTGGAGCTGGGGCCAAGTGTGCCCCGTGCGCCCCGACCGGCCGCTGCAGCGCCCAGAGGCCACAGCCCAGCGCAGGGCCGGGTGTTTAACGGCTGAGGCGGATTCCCCTTTAAATCTCCCCACCATCCCCCCCCCCCAAGGGCCCCCCTTTTCCAGGTCACTCCCTCCC